AGGGGGGGGAGGGCAAGGCAACCCCTTTAGTTCCGGTATCCTCGGGGGAGGGGGAGCTGTCGGGTTGTTGTGAAAGTAGGCGCCAGAGGGTTAGTTAGTTTAGTTTTAGTAGAGGTTTTACGGCGCTCGCAACTGCATAAGGTCATATGAGTGCCAGAAGATTAGAGGTGTTAAAAGAGAGTAACAAACATTTTAAAAAAGAAGGGGAGATAAGGACGATAGATGGTTGATAGGAAAGAAGAAGCAAACCACACCAGAGCACCCGCCAACCACCCACTGCCAGAAGGTTAAAGAAAGACTCTGGTGATCATCTTCTTATATTTATGGACAACGCAGGGTTTTTTCGTAAGGGGGGTGGGGAGGTTGCGTTTGGACTTCTTTCTTTTTTCTTCTTTTTTTGTCTTTTTTTATGCAAGTTGAAACGATATCTGTCTATCGTTTTTCGATCTATCGCCCGATTCATTTGTCTAAAATCTATCAACAACTGCAGATTTCACAAACCTCTCGCCCAAGCAACGATAATTTGGTGTGACGTTCAGTACCGCTTCCGTTTTCAAAATAATATGAAGAAATATATATTTTTGTTATCCATCTATCAAAATAGTATTAACAGTTGCAGCTTCCATGTTCTATTACGACATTATCTATATCTATCTGTCACAGTGTTAACAACTGCATCATCTGTGTCTTTCTGTCATATCATAAATAACTGCATCGTGTATTGCACGTCTACAGCATAAGTAACAACTTCATGTATGTATAATCTGTCACATTATTAACAACTGCAGTGTCTATTATCCACTTAACGATAATCTCATTAACATCTGTAGCTTCTGTTATCGATATATCACATGATTAAAGATTGAAGACTACAGAGGAAAAACTGGTGATGCTTGTCTATTATCTACTTAACGGTAATCTCATTAACATATGTAGCTTCTCTTATCGATATATCACATTGTTAACGATTGAAGACTACAGAGGAAAAAACTGGTGATGCTCAAACCAAATTCCTGTTCTTTAAATCTCAACTGAGCATGAGTAGTTACAACGATAGCATAAAACCTGTGTGAAATAACCACTAAATGAAGCCTTACCTTAGAATTACAAAGTTCTATCTGCAGTTTTTGGCTATTTTGAGTAACTAAGACCATGAGGTCAGAAACTTAAAATTCTATCCTCTCTATCAAAATCGAAAGCTTATTCGGAGTCGTTATCAAGATATTCAAAGAGTTACATTCGAAAAAGTTTGAAATGTTTTGAAACTCCGAATATCATACGTCAAATGTCTCCTAAGTGGATACTGAGCGGACAGAACAATCATTCTAAGGTAGCGGAATATTTTAACGATAGAACACTACAATTTCTGTTAAGTCTACAGTGAAAGAAAGAGGAAGCCTTTCGATCTAAATTTTCAGTTAGTTGGAGATTGTGACATCACTAGTATTTCTGTTGTGGTCTTCAACTGTAGCTTCTAAGATCCATCTAGTTATCTCACATTCACTGATGACAGCCTGTTACGCTTACACGTCTTGTTTGAGCATAATATTATATTGCTTGCATTAACCCCTATAGTCACTGCTAGACCGCCACTCTCTACTCATCTTTCAGATGCTGGTGTGCCCACTACTTCTCCGGGTGAGTACTAACACTGTTGCATGCGCCACTCCCTCCCC